TTGTTCTAGGTGCTGATGGCCCTTCTTGGGTCGAAACAGCAGACAAGGTCGTTCCTGCGGTTGAGGAGTTGGGGAGCCTCAGCTCTGGTTGACCCAAAGAGAACGCGGCATGGGAGAGGAGTGTGCCGCAGAGCTGTGTGCCGTGATGCCAGTAACACGCCCGCAGAGGAAGGCCTCCAACAGCAGGCTCTGAAAGGCCCAGTGCAGCTCAGGACTGTGGGAGAGCGTTTTTTGTTTGTTGTAAGGTACCACTATGCACAAAATGTATGGAGGCAAAGAAATAACGAGTCCGATTCACCTGAAAGATTCCCGGGGGTGCAGCGGGTTAAGCATGGGACTGTTATCCTAGGGTTAGCAGTTCAAATCCACCTCTCAGCTCCCAGGAGAAAGACAAAGGTGCCCCTGCGTATACAGAGTTGTCTCAGTAACCCTACAGAACAGTTCTACTCTGTTGGGGGGTCGCCGCGAATCGGAGTGGACTTGATGGGAGAAGGTGAATAGCCTAAACAAAGTAAAGCTGGACCTGGGAAGAAGTCCGATGACCCCTTTGGGGTTTCAACATAACTGACTGAGCTTCTAGAAGAACTAGGGAGCCCTGGTGACATAGCGGACTGCTAGCCACAAGGTCAGCAGTTTGAAACTACCAGCCGCTCTGTGGGGAAAGATGAGGCTTTCTACTCCTGTGGACAGTTACAGTCTTGGAAACCCACTGGGGTCGTTCTACCTTGCCTTCTAGGGTCACTATGCGTCAGAAACAGGTTGGGGCCAGTTATTTTATCCTAGAAGAACTACTCGGGCATTACTCTGGAGGGACAGGTAGGCTGCAAAAGTCCAGGCACAAGTTGATGGATCATTGGCTGTTGGGGTGGCAAGAAGATGACATAAAGATACCATTTGGTGTTGATTTGGAAAGTGCTTAGTGGGGGTGGGGCTTGAGGGAACAGGAGGCATTGGGTATGAATTCTAGGCTTCTGGCTAAGGTGGGATGAAATGAACAGCAGGTTTTTGGGGAAAGATGTTTGTTTGCAACATTATTATTGTTACTAGGAACACGTTTGAGGTGCCTGAGGACAACTGGATGGATGTTCTTATTGCTCAGCAAAGCGGGCCAGACTGGAGAAAGTGATGGAAAGATTGATGTGGACTCTGTGGGCCGGGGTGACGTCATGTCATAGAGTGACACAGGAGAGGCCAAGCGAGAAAGCAGTACTTAAGGGAGGGGATGACCTAAGAGCAAGAGGCTAGCAGGGTCACAAACACCAAGGGAGTCGGGTTTCAGGGAAGGAAGGAATGTTGATCGTGTCAGATGTCACAGAGGTGAGGCAGGACCAGGACAGAGAAAAGTCCGTTGTATATAAAGTAACTAATGACCTTTGGGAAAACAGTTTCGAAGAACAAAAGCCAGGTCAAGGTGGGCTTAGTAATGAATGGGAGGTGCGGTTGTTAGATGATTGAAGTTGACAAAAAGTGTAGGGGTGGAATTCAACCTGTCAATCAAGTCACAGCCTGATGATGCCTCCTTAGGGATGTGGCCTTCTAAAGGGCAATGAGAGGGGAGGGCAGGGGGGGCGGGGGGGACTAGGCACCTCCCTCTCTGCCCCTTCAGCTTCTGCTCCCTGGGACTCTACCACTGACCCTGAGGGCAGGGCGAGGGCTGCTGGTGCCCGGCCAGGTTTCCACTGACCTTGGGTCCCCACCAGCCTGGGAGCTTCCTGCATTCTGCATCACTGCCTGTGGCTGCGTGAGTCTGAAGAGGGACTTGTGGACTAGTATCGGACTTAGGGACTTGCATAGGCTGGGCTGGGATCCCTTCTTGATATATAATTGATAGAAAGCTTGTTCTGTTTCTCAAATTGTAACCTGGTCTAACACAGTGGGAATGGAAAGTTTGGAACTTTTTCAGGATTGTAAGCTTGGTTGTAAGAAAATAGGTAAGACAGGAAAGTAATTTACAGACACAGAAAAGGTGAATTGCCCAAATCGGACCCACTCTTAGTTACTTAAGATATTGGAGTTCTGTACAAGTATCCAGAATGAAGGCTCTAAAAGGGGACTGACTCACTTGAGCTTTTAGGCAGAGAAGGGGAAGTTATATCACCTGTCAGAAGGGAGAAAGGAAAGGATATGTGCAAATATAGGTAATTGTGTAGGTGTGAGTTAAGCACTGGGTTAACTCACGAGGTTGATAGTTGATAGTTCAAGCCCACTGGTTGCTTCAAAAAAAGGGAAGAACAAGACTGTCTACTCCTGCAAAAACTTAAGGAGCAGTTCTCCTTGGTCCTATACCAAAACCAAACTCTCTGCCATCAAGTCAGTGCTGACTCATAGCGGCCTCCTGTGGGCTCTGAGACTGTAACTGTTTACGGGAGTAGAAGGCCCAGTCTTTCTCCCAAGGAGCTGCTGGTGGTTTCAAACTGCCGACCATGTGGATCACCACCAAACTCATAACACTATACCACCAGGGCTCCTGTATTGTCCTATAGGGTCTTCTTATGAGTGAGAATTGACTCACGGCAGGTTTGGGCTTAGGGTCCATGTGGGGGCAGGATGAAGAATTGGGTGCTCATTCACTTTAATTTTCCCTTTCCAGCAGAAGAAAAAGTTGTTGCCTAGGAGGAGAAGGTAGGGAGTGAGGGTGAGTCCGGTTGCTCCGGAAAGTGGGAGAGGAAATGAAACAGGGGCATTGTGGGATATAAAACCCCGTTTCTCTCCCCCAAATATATGTCAGACCTAGAGCACTGCTTGCAACTAATGGTAAATGATTGTCAAGTTATCTCCCTGAAGACTCCAGCCATCCAGACCCTATTTTCTGCCTTGCCATGGGGGGCTCACTCCCTGCTGGTAGGACAGTGGATTGCGTTCCCTGAAAGGCTCAGATAAATCAAGTCTCCAACTCAAGGACAATCAAGGGTAGGCCACCATCATGAATCTAGGATCCACCCTTCATGTCACACGTCTCTTTAATCCCTCCTCTTCCTATAGCGTGTATACCCCTAGATGGACATCCCCCCCTTGCTGTATTACCTACAGTACAACCCCTTCCTGTGACGTATGTCTTTACCTGTAATGGGGATTGCATGCCCCCCAAAGATATATAAGCCCTGGTTAGAAATAAATCGCTCTCTTCTCCACTCTCCGCCGCCCGAGCTGCGCGCAGACCTGGCTGGTGAGATCATGGCGGTCCAGGTGAGCATGCTACCATGAAATGTGTCTGACTCCTTTATTTTCTCTTTTCGTATTCTCTCTGACTTTACTAAAATCTTTATATATCATAACCATACAATTGTGCCGACCGGGTCCGTGACAGTGTGAGGGGCTGGATGGTTTCCCCCACAGGGCATCTGGAAGGAATGGTGAGCAGCACTGAGGGCCTGGTTGGAAATGCCGGGTCTTGGTTTTTGTTGTGTGACATGGGGTCGGTTCTGACTCTTGGTGACCCTCTGGGACTGTTACTCGGGTCTCCTAGGCTGGAATCTCAATAGGGCAAATCTCTAGATCTTTATTCTCAAGAAGCTACTAGTGGGTTTGTGCATTAGCATTCAAGCACTTAGCCATCTGGCCATCAGCATGCCTTAGTTTTGAGTTGCCCTTTTTTCCTCCGTGGTTGTGCGATCTTCTGCATTCACTACAGAAGCTCTGAGGAAGGGGCAAAGAGACTGCTGCTCTACGATGGGATGGGTGTGGAAGGGTGACTGTGTAGATGAATTGGGGCTGGGAGAACTGAGGAACCGGCCAGGAGGAGATGGAGAGAGGCCCTGGAGAGGGCAGGAGTGGATGCTGGAGCTGCGATGATGGTCTGGGTGGGAAATGAAGGACACAACTAGAGAACGTTTGCCTTAAAAATGACAACTAACCTAGATGTCAGCAAATCCACTTCAGGAAAAACAAATGGAAAAGTTTTAATGAGATAAATACATTTATTAACATGAGAAGAGCTCCAAGACATATTGCTAAGGAAAAAAAAAAGCCCCAGGTGAATACATGTGTAGAAAAACATCTGGAAGGCTATGCATTGCGTGGCTAAATGCCATTGCCTACAAAGAAGGGAGAGGAGGGTGGCGATAAAGCAGATTTACAACACTGTACAGTCATCATTGAATTTTATTTTAAAGGTATTTATATACATCAAGTAAATACACAGTGGGGTTTGTGTGGTTTAGTGTGTCTAACACGCTGGCATGCAACATTTTGGCAGATGTGAGTGGGCAGGCCAGGTGTCCCTTGTGACCCTGGCTCTCTGGAAGGAATGCCTCGAGGGTGAGGGGGGTGAGGGGGGTGCATTATGAAGCTTGTGGTGCAGGGTCTGTGTGTGTGCCGTTTCGTGGTTGAGGAAATGAATTCTATTTCCCTTACAACTTGTGAAAGAGAAGGCTGCCCCTCGGTGTCACCTCTCTCCTCACCGGCCCTACACCTTCACATTTCCGTATGTTTTTTCTTCTGCAAAAGAATCCTTTGCTGGCATGATTACATAAAACCCACTGGGTTTTTGAGTGCCCTGGTGGCTAATGTTAGTTGAAGTCCCTTTTGTTGATATGCCTCTAAGCAAGTGACTCAATGGTGGATCAGTGTATTCACACCCACTGTTATTTTCACCCTAATTGCTAAAAGGGTTCCAACAGGAAAAGGGCACAGGGACTTTCCGCCTGTAGGTGTCACACACCAAGAAAGCCCGTATTTTACCAGCTGGCACGCACACGAACATTCTTTCCTGACGTAGAAGAATCTAGGTGTTGGGTGCCTGGTGGCTTGGGGATCCTGTCTTCTGCAGCAAATAGGACTGGCTAGCTGGACACAAGGCTTTCCTGATTGGGCTGGCTAGCGATATCCATTCTCCTCCCTGGGAAACCACTTGAGCACCAAGTGGACGGAGAGGACTCTGCGACCAAAGCATCAGTCCCCTCTGGTGCAGGGGCCCCGGGGCTGAGCTAGTGAGTGGAAGAGCTCCTTCACCTCTGGAGAGGCTGCCCTGCCCCTTTCTTTAAAGTGCACTTACTACCAGATGGGAGCAGTATAGAAGAAACTCTGTGGGCCACAAAAAAAAAAAAAAGGTAGATTGGGGAAAATCAGGCCCCTGCTTGAAAGGAAGGCATCAAATGATCAATGTTTGCTAGGAACTGGAAGCCCCGACGGAGCGGTGGAGAAGGGAGGGACCGAGAAAGGAATCGGGCCCCGTCCTCCGCCAGAGGGCCCTGGGCAACAAGAAGCTGACCAAGGCGGTTCCTGGCTAAACCCAAGGAACCGATCCTTCAGACTACACGCACCTATAACCATCACCCCAGACAGTTGAGCAAACCAGCTGACAGACTATTGGGAGGGGGCTGCCTCCACCAATTTTTGAGACTATTTTGAATCAACTCTGGGTTCTGGCTGCAAGCTGTGGGGTAAAAGGTGTCAGAGGAGATTGGATGAGAGAGCGGAGGGGCCATGTTCTCAGTTCAGAGGAGAACAGATGAGGGAGGCAAAAGGCCAACTCATTCCAGAGCTAAGCCCCTGGACTCGCTCAGCTGGGTGTATGGAGAAAATTACACATCTAAGCGCTAAGTTCTTCCAACGGACCCCTCCCTGTGCTCTGTGCGAGAAGGGAGGGCGGAAGAGCCTATCTTTGTGTCTTCTTAGGATGCAAGACATTCTGCTTAAGGCTTTGTGTGTGTGTGTATGTGTGTGTGTGTGTGTGTGTGTGTAAGAGCGCGAGGAGCAGAGCCCTCTAGCTCCTGTTTTGTTTGTTTTTAATCATCTCCATGACCTCTACTCAGTGATTGCCACCACGTCGTGTGAGAGACGAATATATGAGAGAAAAAGGAGAAACATTCACCCTCCTCCCTATTTCCCCAATAGGAGGGTAGACTATGCTTAGAAATCGCTAGATACATCATCAGATACCTGGAGAGTGGGACAGAGAGGGGAGACGGAGCAGCAGCTTTGATAGCTAGATACAGAGTAAGGAAGAGGAGACATCAAACATAGTACAGTCAGACAACAAGGTTGGGGAGGGAGTTAGTATCAGAGACCACGGGTTTGCAGCATGCTGAGAGGAGAGGCCTCAGTCCCTCTTAGAAACTGGGGAAGAAAGAGAAAGAGTGTGTGAGGCGCCGTCTTGCAGCCCAGCCACTGCGCTGTTGGCTCCAAAGGAACAGGGTCGGATCTGTACAGGCTTTGGCTTGTGGTCCTGTTTCTTTGACACCAACACAGAGATACCCATCGCCAGCCCCTCCCTAAGAGCTCCCTCCTCCTCCTCCTCCGGGCTTCTCTGCTCCTCCTGCCTTTCTGCTGTGTGCCCAGCCTGCTATCCTGGGCAAATTCCCGGAGAGGACGCAGCCCAGCTCAGACACTGGCCACATGCTCCTCTTTCTCATTCCCCAAGAACCCACAGTAGGCAACACAACAGGATCCCGGTGCCCAGTTCTGGGCCCTACAGCAACCTCAGTGAAGACGCTGGTGACTGCAGGACCTGGACGAGCCTGCATTGCTGGGGAGAGGGCCAAGGGGCAGAGGTGGAGAAGGAAGGAAGGGGCTGGGAGGTGGGGAGAAGGCTGCACCCCACCTCCACGGAGCATGATGGGAAGGGAGTGCTAACATTGAGGCTAGGCTGGGACAAAAGGTGAAGCTGCCAGGGGCCCTTACTCAAGCTTACTACTGGTGGAACATACTATGCTATGCAGCAGGCAGGAAACGGGTCTCACAGGGAAGCGTTCTTCCATCAGAAAAGACCCGGCCCTCAGGGTAGAGACAGGACTGGGATGATCTCCCAAGGGCCCCTAATCGCCACATTCTGTCCTGCTCACGGTTTATAAGTGACAGTGACCTCTAGTGGCAGCAAGATAGTACTGCGGTTACTGCAGTAAAGTGTCTAAGAAGGGGAAGGAAGGCATTGTCCAGAGGACACAGCGCATCACAGATATAGCTTGGAGGAGGGGAGAGCAGGAGGTGAGGGGTAAGAAGACCTTTTTGACGTGGTTTTTTAAAAAAAGGATCAAAGAGGCTGAAGGATGAGAAAGGAAGCAACCTGAGGCTCGTCTGAGGAAGCGGCCTGAAGCTACCTGAAAGTGCAGGTATGCAGCCGTGGGCCTGGGAGATTAGCTGGCGGCAGTCTCTTGGTGGAGAGGGAAAAGCTTGGCCGGGTCCTCAGCCTCATAGCCGCATGGCAGGTCACTCCTGGAGGGGAAGGAAGAGATGGCCACAGTCAGACGGCATGGTCTGCTCAGCTCGAGAAAGGGAAGCGTCCCTGGAGGGTTCCCGGCGCTAGAAGCATTCCCGCGAGAGCAAAAAGGGCTCGTGGTTCTTGTTTGGTGGGAACACAGGCAACATCGAGGCCAGAGAGAAGGCGCTGACTTGTCCAAGGTCACAAAGTTCCCCCAAAGTGGGAGAGAAATCCAAGTCATCACATCTGTATGGCATTTCCCCCCGCACTCCAAAACCAGAACAGGGAGAAGCCACAGAAGGACATGGATGAAGACATTTCCCAAGGCAGGGGATGACTCAGCTCTCCTGGAAAGGACACAGTGACAAGGGACAGGCTTTCTCTCCTCCCACATCCCCAACCCCACGGACCCAGGGAACCTTTAAGGAAGGGGAAATGCAGTCATTGTAGCCATATCTTCTAACCCCACTCAGACCACCCGAGGGCAGTGGGGACTGGTGTACCTGTTGTCATTGATGTCTGTGGCGTTTCCTGCAGAGATCCATAATTGAAAATCCAGTTTTAGAGGAAGAAAACAAGAGATGGGGCATTAGCAAGAGTCGTCCCAAACCCTCCCTCACCCCCTTCAAGAAAACGGTGAGCCTGTGGCGTAGCTACCTATGGGGCTGTTGACCAAACCCCTAAATAAGAGGCTGAAGGATGTCTGCTTGAGGAAAAAGCCTCCCTGACACACACTCCC